TGTTAAGTTCCACCTAACAGTTTCTTTATCTGCATGGTTAATATAACTCAGAGCGCTATCTTCTTTTCCATCAACAATGTATGAATATACTTCTAGTGGCTGCCCTGGAAGATGTGAGCAGAATCAGAACTGAGGTATCCAGCATGATAATAAAATCCTGTAAAGTCTCCAGATTATTTCCTTTCCTCATCTTCTCTATTAAATGTAACTGTAAACCTGAATTCTGAATTTTTTATAAGCTTCACCATATCTGGAATGTAAAACTCCAGACAGCTACTAAATCAGTCGTGGCAAACCTATGGTGCGGGTGCCAGAGGCAGCACTCAGAGCCCTCTCTGTGGGCACATGTGCTATCGCCCCAGTCCTAGGCCTTCAGCTGGGTTTTATAAAACCTTTTCGCTTTAGGCCTCCACCGCCGTGTACAAAAAAAAAGGTTCAATCAATCAGTCAATTTCAACTTCTCACGGGGAAAAAAAAGATCTTGCAAAATTGGAATTGATTGATTGAACTTTTTAGTCTCACCCAGTCTACTGTTACCACCGCAGCCACGCCCACCCAATGGGCCACACCCATCCGACACCCGACGATGCATAAGTGGGTTTTGGGTTGTAGTTTGGGCACTTGGTCTCTAAAAGGTTTGCCATCACTGTACTAAATGGAATTTTCTATGTCTCTTTTTGCCATCTATTGGTCACCTGGAGTTTTGCAATCCAGATTTGGCAGTGCTCATTTTATTGTGTGGAATTCATTAAAATGCTATTAAATTCTCTCCGGAAAAAGACTGACTGCAGCCTTAATACCTGAAATGGGTACCGTTGCCAAAAGATTGTATCGTAGCAAGAATTTCATATTCATGACTTCAATGAGACACTCACATCTGATGACTGTAAGAGATAGGATTAAAGGCTTACTTTGTCTTTAATTTTTACCTCACACATACACCAATTCTTGAATCTCTTTTAATTATACCTACTACTATTTGCAAACAATCTAACTCATTTCTCCACAGCCACACATATATTCTCCCCATAGGAACCAGGCTATGGTTTATTCTTTGCTTCAGAGACCTTTCAGGTTTCCTTTGGATTATAGTTAAACATCCCTGTTGCAGGTCCCTACTCTCGTTTCCTGGAGACTGTTGAGGTCTGGATGGGGAACAAAAGATTAAAACTGAAGCCTGGCAAGAGGGAGAGACTTTTAGTAGGTAGGGATAGTGGGAATCTCATTCATCCATTCATGCGCGTCACTAATTAGATGACGAGGCATTTGGCTATGTTAACATTGATTATTAGACAGGCAAGAAGAGGAAAGGTAAGAGGCAGTAATGACACAGAGTGTCTGCCCGACCTTCCAGCATCAAGCCCTCTAAGGCAATAAAATCGCTATTTCAGGTAGAGGCCATGGGAGGCACACAACTACCTGCATGGCTGGGGTCTTGTTAGCCAGGGGGCACAAGATCCACAAAAGGTGTTAACATACCAGCTGGCTGTTCTCCGTTGCCTGCCAAAACAGCAATGGAGGGGTGGGTTGGAACTTAGTTCAGGCACGGGTGCCCTATCCAGCGGCACCACGAGGAGGTGTCCAACCCAAGTAACCAGTCCTCCTCCCCTTAAGAGAGTCATAGTTACTCCCACCGTTTACCCATGCTTCATTGAATTTCTTCACTTTGACATTCAGAGCACTGGGCAGAAATCATATCGCGTCAACACCCACTGCAGGCCTTCTCGATGCTTTGTTTGAATTAAACAGTCGGATTCCCCTGGTTCGCACCAGTTTTAAGTCAGCTGCTAGGCGCCGGCCGAGGTGGGACGACGGGCTACCGCCGGCCCTGCGAGGGGGGCAGGACGGCCGCTGCCAACTGCAGTTGGGGCGATCCACGGGAAGGGCCCGGCTCGCCTCCGGAATTGCCACAGCGCCCCTGACCCCACCCGGCCCCCCAAATAAGGGGCGGGTGGTGGAGAAGAGTAGGTGCCTCTCCCAGCCACGGCACATGCCCAGCCCCACTTCGCGCCCTAGCCCGACCGGCCCAGCCCTCAGAGCCAATCCTTATCCCGAAGTTACGGATCCGGCTTGCTGACTTCCCTTACCTACATTTATGTCCATGGTTTCCAGACTCTTGGAGAATTGCCACCTTTGGTCTTAGATGGGGTGGCACTGCCCCAAACAGATCCAGTGCATAATCTGGAGGTTCTCCTGGACTCACCAGTCCTGTTCAAGAGCAGATGGAGGTCATGGCTAGGAAGACCTTTGCACAACTGTGAGTTGTGCACCAGTTACACTCTTTTTTCAACCAATGTACCCTTCTCACACTCACCCATGCCCTGGTCATCTCATGTGTACTCAACATGAAGCTTCAGTTGATTCAAAATGCAGTGGCCCCTACAGTTTTGCACAAATCAAGATCAGTGCAGCTCCCATAAAAGAGGTGACTTATTACTGATTTGCTTCCAGGTGCAATTCAAGGTGCTGGTTATGACTTGGGGCCATGATATTTGAAAGACCGTGTCTCCCCAGTTACATTTATCTGGCCCACCAGAGCAGGAAGGCAAGGTAAGTTACAGATCCCATTTATTAGGACAGTACATCTAGTGGGACCCAGAAAAAGGGCCTTCTCTGTGGTGGGTCCCTCCCTGTAGAATATCATTCCCCCCTGAGATTAAATTAGCCCCCACTTTGATACTTTTACAGAAAGCCCTGAAGACATGGTTCTGTGTTTCTGTCAGTGGGCTTGAGGATCCCAGTTTGAAATGGAGCCCATCAAGTGGTTAGTGTAATCATGCTTGTGGCTGCTGAGGGGATGTTATGGGATTTTCCATTGTGGAATCACTAGAATTGCCTTGTACAATTTGGGCACCCATGTAAATGTGTTTAAATAAATGCTTCCCATCTGCGCAAGCTACCATTATTTTTGCGTAGCATCTATCTGACCTGGTTACTATTAAACTTTAAAAGTTGGAATGGATCTAATTAGCAATTGGATGGAAGAAACTAGGAAATCCCAGATCTGTGAGCTAGACAGAAAGTTGAAAAAATATTTGGAAAAAGGGGAATAACAAACCATTTCTGTACTCTTGCAAAAAAAAAAAAAAATGTATGGGTTTGGCCATGAGGTCACCAGGAATTTGACTTGAAAGAAACTGTAGTTTAATACTTTGAGATTTGTTTTAAAGTTTTTGAATTTTAACCACTGAAGCCTTTTTGAGCTGAAAGGCAACTCAGGAAGACTTAAATGTATACAGAGATAAGGCCAAATATAAAACTGCATTCTTTCTAAGTCATATTCATCCATCCATTCGTATTTAAGGTTACAACAAGTAAATATCCTGAATATCCCCAAAACAAATCCTTTCCAGCAAATGCTATACAGTCTTGGTAAGATATTCTAGAAGCACAATTTTTTGCTTGTTGGGGAATCAGTTGAACTTGATGGGTGCTTTCTGCAATGGCAAATGTTTTCCAGTTGACCTCACTTATACTGGATGAACACAAATTCATATTGGCCAGCGGTTGTAGAAGTTATAGTCCAAGACATCTTCACACAAACTGAGAAAATTAAGCCTGTGTGAACTAGATTTATGTCAAATTAATGTAATGCTGGGTATGTTTTATTGTCCCCCATTTCTTTCCAAAGTTACTTCTAGGATGACAAAAAAAAAATCAGTTATGAATTTTCAAGACAAAATGCATAATCCCTGGAAGATGTCATAGCTATCTTTCCAATGGAATGTTTGGAAGCAGAATGGCTACTTTTTACTTTAACTTCCCAAGCTTCACCTCTTAGCCAATGTCTGCAATGGTGATTTTATGTAGTACTGTTGCATTCATGCAGGAGCGGCATTATAACCTCTGAGCTTCACGCCCATTGCATGTCTACAGAATGGGCTCAGAGCATACTCAAATGCAGGTGATTAGACTAAATGGCTGTGAACATTTGCCTATGGCGTAGGCCTCATCTCTTCAACAATTTTGGAAATTCATCCTATTTGACTCATAGTAAGAATGGCAGGGCAGAAGACGCCACTTGGAAGCTGGGAGGGGAAGAAATGTTTTTATGCATCACTATTTTGAACATGAGGCATCATAGAATTAATGGTCTGCAGAAAGCGCCTTTTACAAGTGATCTATTGTGGATCAGGTTGCTTTTAGCAGCAATGGGAAAAGGAAGGAAATACACTAAGAAAACATCTCCCAAGCTACTGCGATAGAGGTAGGGGAAGATAGAAGAAACCTGGGGTGGATAAACTTAGGGCTCAACTATCCATTCTGCTGCTTTTTATTCTGCTGTTTTATTTCTTCCCATTCACCCAGGATCATCCTTCTATTTCACCATTACAGGTAGTCCTTGACTTACAACAGTTCATTTAGTGACTGTTCAAAGTTACAACAGCATTGAAAAAAATTACTTACGACTACTTAATGACCATTGCAACATTTCCCCCTGGTCATGTGATTTACATTTGGATGCTTGACAACTGGTTCATATTTATGACAGTTGCAGTGTCCTGAAATCATGCGATCACCTTTTGTGACAAGCTAAGTTAATAGAAAAGCCAGATTCACTTAACAACAGTCTTACTCATTTAACAACTGCATTGATTCACTTAACAAAGTGTGGCACGAAAAGTCGTAAAACCCATTTAACAAATGTCTCAGTTAGCAACATCAATTTTGGGCTCAGTTGTGGTCATAGGTCAAGGATTCCCTTGTATTATATCCCTCTGCTCTAAGCTGTAGCCATTCACCAGGAACAGCCCGGCCGTCAGGTGAGCATCACTAGCTACTATTGTATTTATACACAGGCGCTTATGGCGGTCCCAGCCCGTCCTTTCCCCGCCCAAGCTTTCCGATCCAGGACGCCTGTGCCTTTAAGAGCCTACATCCTTTGATCTCTCAGAGGCAAAGAGAGGGTGGCTTTCCCCCCACAAAAAAAAAAAAATCGGGGCGCGGCGCTCTGCTTTTCCTTCTCTCTGCCTACGTCACCTGATAGATTTCCCGTCTCCTCTTCATCCCCTGAGCCCCCCCCCCCTTTCCCATACGTCGCCCGGTGCCTTTAGAGCCGGACGGAGATCGGGCTGGGCAAGCGGGAGGGCTCCTGGCCGCCCCTCCTGCGCGCGGGCAGAACCTCCTGGGTTGGCAGCAATTGTTCCTCAGCGAAATCCCCTCAGCACAACGCAGCAGCGCGGGAACCAGCAGCCCCGCGCGCCCCGCGCTACGGGAGGCAAGTCGTAGGGGAGAGGAGGAGGAGGCGGCAACGGCGGCGGCAGTGCCCCGCTCTTGCCAGGAGGCGACCGGAGGATGGGAGCAAGGAGCCGCGCCGAGCCAAAGGGTGGCAGCAGCCCCAGCAAGCCGGGTGCTGCCTTGGCCGCCGCTTGATTCCTTCGGCGGGGAGAGGGAGGAAGAGGTGGCGGCGGCAACGGCAGCTTCTCGCTCTCTGGCTTCAGCGTCGGAGCTGCCGCCGCCCTGAGAGTGAGGAGGAGCCAAGCAGCGGCTGGCATGGAGCGGAAGAGCCCCGCTACCGCAGGGAAGCAGAACCCGGGCAGCCGGGGAGCCGGGGACGGGCACTGCGCCCAGGGCAGCGGCGGGCCAGCGGCGGGCGTTCAGCATCGGGGCAGCGGCTGCGGCCAACTCTCGGTTGCAGCCGCCGCTGCTTCTCCGGCTGCGGAGCCCGAGCAGCTGATCCGAAGAGCGCTGGATTTCAAAAGCCAAGGAGCCCAGTGCTACAAGGAGAAGAAGTGCCGGGAAGCCATCGGCAAGTACCACAGGGCGCTGCTCGAGCTGAAGGGGCTGTTGCTGGCCCAGGAAGACGCGGAGGACGCCGCCTCGACCGCCTCCTCCGCGGGGGCTGCCGGCCTGGGCAAACTCTCGGATGAGCAGAGGCAGCTGCTGGACAGCATCGAAATCGACTGTTACAACAGCCTGGCAGGTCGGCAGGTCTCTTTCGGGGTTTTGCCCTGGGGGGGGCGGGGGGGGGCGGGGAGAAGAGAGAATGGAGGGAAGGAAAGCGGGCGGAAGGCAGGCAGCGCCTGGCCGCTCTCTGGCCCGGAACGCTCCGACCGCGCTTTGCGACTAAAGTTCGTTCGTCTTGGAGGCTGAGGGCAAAGGCGGCTTGGGGAAGAGGGGGGGGGGAAACGGAGATACTTATTCTCGCCGCAGTTGTTTGCAAGTTTGATAGCGGGATTGAGTCACAAAACAGGGACAACGACAATGACAGGTATCGTTTTCCTCTTCCTCCCGCCCCCCCCCCGCACCTCCGCCTCTCTGCAATGGGATGGAAACCTGTGTTTTGCTGAAATCGGGCGCAGGGATTTGCCGCCTGCTGCCGCGGAGTCTGGAGACGGGAAAGCATCCCAGATGTATTTCGAAAGATTCCTTCTAACCAGACAGCGAATAGGCCGTATTTATTTAGGATGAATTGGCATTCTCCGAGGCGTACTTTGTAGGTTGCTTCTGTCTTTGCTCTGGGGTGTGTGTGTGTGTGTGTGTGTGTGTGTGTGTGCGCGCGCGCGCGCGCACTAACATCTGAAAAGCACATCTGCAGTGCACCTTTCTACATCGCTGAATAACTGGGGCATAATAAATAGCTATTGCTATACATGAAACTTTAAAGTAAAAGGTTGGGTCCTTGTCCCCAAGGTTCTTGCAATCCAGTTCACCTAAAGGGAGAAAGGATGAGAGGTGAAAAAAGTAATTCTCCTGGAAGAAATCTTCCAGTAATTCTGGAAGATTTCTTCTAGAATAAACTATTATGAACTGAAACCAGTTCATCAGATTTGTGAAATATTACTTTCGGTAGATAGTGCCACCAATCTTCCCATCTACGGGAAATGAATCTATGGAAAATGCTGATTGTGCTTATGATCTCCAGAAGCAGCAGAATACAATCAGTTGCTTTGTCTTTAACATGTTGCAAGAGTCTGTTGTTTTCCTAGTTGCAATAGCAGGGTAACACAATTGCCCTTCTAGAATGTGTCCCTAAGGGAAATATGTGTCCATGTATTCTGTGGGCAATGGTAAAATTAATACACACACAGGCACACATACAGTACAACCCCAGAGCACTGAGTGCTCTGTGTGTGTGTGTGTGTGTGTGTGTGTGTGTGTGTGTGTGTAAAAGGCAGCACGATCATAGCAGCACAAGAACAGGCACTAAGCACCAGATCCATAGAAGCAGGGATTTATCCAAGGGATAGGCCAGCGTCCCCCTTGGCAGCTGAAAGATGTGTAGACTGTAACTTCCAGAATTCCCTCAGCCAGCCATGAAAGAGAATAACAGGGCTAAGAATCTGTGGGAGTTCCAAATCCAGATGGACAGGCGTGTACTAGATAATCAACCAGACACCGTAATAGTAGACAAATTAATAGACAAAGACCAGAAGAGAGCAGTAGTGATAGATGTAGTGGTGCCAAGTAACAACAACACCAGGAAGAAGTCCTGGAAGTCTGAGAAGTACCAGGCCTGAAGGAGGAACTAGAGGAGATGTGGAAAGCCAAAGTGGTCCCACTAATGGTAAAAGCATTTGGGGCTGTGACTCCTAAATGGGGAGAGTGGCTCCAACTGATCCCAGGACTGACATCAGAGCTCTTTGTCCAGAAGAGAGCAGTGCTAGGAACAGTTAAGATACTGCGCAGAACCCTCAAAATCACAGGCCTTTTAATAGAGGACCCAAGATTGAGGAAGTCACACACCACCCAAAAGATTTTGTGTGTGTGTGTGTGTCTGAGAGAGAGAGAGGGGGAGGGAGGGAGGGAGAGGGAGAGAGAGAGAGAGAGAGAAGAAGGAGGAGGAGGAGGAGGAGGAGGAGGAGGGGAGGGAGAGAGAGAGAGAGAGAAGAAGAAGGAGGAGGAGGAGGAAGAGGAGGAGGAGGAGGAGGGGAGGGGAGGGAGGGAGGGAGGGAGAGAGAGAGAGAAAGAGAGAGAGAGAGAGAGAGAGAGAGAGAGAGAGAGAGAGAGAGATGCAGTTGTTCAGATTTGGCTGTTTATTTCACTTTTGGAGAACAGTAGAAGACCCAGGGGTCTAAAGTCAAATGTTTCATAAAAGAGAAGAGGAATCTGAAGATGGTCTGACCTTGGGAGTGGTGATGGGAGTGGGGAGAGAGAAATGTTCCAAAAACTTTGTCGGGAGAAGGAAAGAGAAAGAGAGGCATTCATCATATCAATCTTGAAACACAGCATCTATACAGTAGCTGGATTTTTTGTGATTTTTTCAAGAGCAATGCAATTAGGAGCCAGCAATTCTATGTTGCTACTAATTTGATGACAATAACTTTGAAATGATTGACTGGTTCTCCAGAGATTACGGTCCATAGATTCTTTTTCAAGACTTCTTTGCTTTTGCAGCTATCAATTATATAGTACTTCCCCCCCCACTCCTCTGCCTGTTTCTTCCAGTTGTTTATCATCAGTTCAGTGATTTGCCATTAATACTATAATGGGTGGAGTTGCCTCTTTCAGAATTACTCATAAAATACTCTTAATTTGATTTTAATGAGCAATGGGAATACTTACTTTTTAGAGAATTCAGAACAAGGCAACCTACTCATTTTTGTCTGTTATCTCTGGCCAGTAGCAACTAGAATGCTAGTTTTTAAGAGTCTGAGCTCTAAAGTAGGAAGATCTTGGTACAAATTTTACCCCTTCTAAATATTTGGTGTGACCCGACAACTTTGATTTATTCATATATCATGGGTAAGGAATCAATGATAGCCAGTTGTATGAACATAGTCCATCAGTGTCTCAGTCAAAACAATACTAGCGTACCTTGCAGAATGTCTATAAACTTTACTCTAAATACATACGGGAAACATTTTAAATTTTTTTTTAATCAAACCCTTAAAAGAGTGTTTCTCAGCCTTGGCAACTTTAAGATGTGTGCACTTCAATTCCCAGAATTCCCAGGCCAGCATGACCCACCATATGTTGGGAAAGGCAAAGATCCGGAGGTGCATAAACCGAGCAACAGACCTGAGACAAAAGCATTGTTCAGAATAGATGTTATTGAGACTAAATGGAACTTTACTGTCTCTGCTTTTGCTTGGTAGGTGCTAGCTTACATTTCAGCTTAGTGTGTTCTATGAACCTGGCACTGTTCTCTTAAACCATTGTTTATAGTTTTCAATTAATTGTGGTTTATTCGGCAAATGATAGCTAAGTCTTGCCATGTGGTACGAACACAGTTTCTCTGGGTGTAACTTTAGTTATAGCCACACAAGTTTCTGTTCCATGTGTTGCATATTTCTCAAGTATCAAGATTCAAGAACTACAAAGCACTTTTATATAATAGCAGAACACTGAAACAATGAATTCATGAATGTTACTATCTACCCATTCTGCTTCCTTCCAATCTTATTGGCCTCCCAAGGCCTAGAGTAGTGAAAGTTCAATGTATTAGCAGTGCATCAGATTGGGGAAGGAGGGCAGATAGATATACTTCTGTTTCAATAGCCTTCCAGTGCACTTCCTCTTACATTGCTTAACCTAATTCTGAGCTCATGTATTTGTATGTTTCTCTCTGGGCATCTGAATGTGAGAAATACATTTGTATTGTTTTGCCCCATATCTGTGGGCTCCAAGCCTACCCAGTGTCATATTATTATTATTACATATATATATATATATATATATATATATATATATATATATATATATATATATATATGTAGGTCTTTGGTTGTTCGGGTTTTCTCCCGCGTAAATTGGAAGTGGAGCACGAAGCTGAAAGCACCTGCCTGAAGATGACGAATGGGACTTTGTCGAAACGTCGCCAAGACACTTCCAATTTTACGCGGGAGAAAACCCGAACAACCAAAGACCTACATACAAACACCCGCGAAAACCTCAGAAAACATATATATATGCTGGAAAATTTGCATATATATCTTGGAACTAAGAAGTCTCCCCCTCCCCAAAGATGTCATGGAGGATGAGGAGAGGGGGTTTCTTATTCCCAATATGCACATTAATGTTAATAATAAATGATGGTGGCAGCAAAGATCAACAAAGAACCTGCCTCTGAGCAGTATAAAGACAAATAAGAGTCTGCCAGGAGAGGTTGATCTAATAGCAGAGTTTGGACCTCGAGACCTCTCAGTGAGAAAGATTCATAGCTCGGGAGCCCAGCCAGGAGCACAAACTCAGCCTGTCATGGCTGGTAAGATGATGCAGCCTCTCAGCTTCTGCAGCATCTCCTTTTACGCTATTGGGCCCATTCATCCTTTTTCTGTATCATTTCAGTATGGAAAGGAAGAAGCCAGGCCTCATCCTTCTCTGACTCCTTCTTCAGGAGGGGGGGGAACCCCCCACTCTCACTGAATGTAGAATGGAGACCTATAGAATGGAGGTGTGGGAGAGCACTAGGTATGCTCTTCTTGTTGTAAGCTAAAATCTATGTTTTTCCATACTTAAGGGATGACAATTTTCCATCATCCCCACCCATCCAATCATACTGACTAGGAATCCTGGGAGTTATAGTCTCGCACTGATCAATGCCTTCACATTGGAAAGCCTTAACTGAAGGCTGTATATACTTCAGATATTTGGGCGTCAATACAAAGAGATCATTGCTCTATGTTTTATTGTTGAAAACAAGGTTTATAAAGAAGAACTGTTTTCGAAGCTGCTCAGATGACAAATGTTCTGAAGCTTGTTAAATGACAGTGTTTTGATCAGCAACCATTGTTTCAGGCATCCAAGTCGTGCCTTCAAGTTGCAATCAGTGAACTGTGAATTTCCATTGAAGCTATGATAATGCAGCTTTGAGATGCTCCTATAGGCAGCCTATGCAACATTTAGCCTTTTAAAAAACACATTTTAACAGATGCAGTAATTTTTTTTCCTCCAACCTACATTCTTAACTGTGATTCGGAGAAAGATTATCAGGTGACAATTAAATGCTGCTTTTCCTTGTACTGGTGCACATGTTTTAAC